CCGAGCACGAGCGCGACCTGCGCCACTTCCGCGACACGCTCAAGCAGGAGCTGCGCCTGCTCAAGCAGGAGGTCGAGCTGCTCGCCAAGGTGAGCCCAGCTGTAGCGGTAGGTTGAGCCGAGCAGCAGCTGGAGGGCGAGCTGCGCGCGCACGCCAAGCGCCTGCGCGCCGAGCACGAGCGCGACCTGCGCCACTTCCGCGACACGCTCAAGCAGGAGCTGCGCCTGCTCAAGCAGGAGGTCGAGCTGCTCGCCAAGGTGAGCCCAGCTGTAGCGGTAGGTTGAGCCGAGCAGCAGCTGGAGGGCGAGCTGCGCGCGCACGCCAAGCGCCTGCGCGCCGAGCACGAGCGCGACCTGCGCCACTTCCGCGACACGCTCAAGCAGGAGCTGCGCCTGCTCAAGCAGGAGGTCGAGCTGCTCGCCAAGGTGAGCCCAGCTGTAGCGGTAGGTTGAGCCGAGCAGCAGCTGGAGGGCGAGCTGCGCGCGCACGCCAAGCGCCTGCGCGCCGAGCACGAGCGCGACCTGCGCCACTTCCGCGACACGCTCAAGCAGGAGCTGCGCCTGCTCAAGCAGGAGGTCGAGCTGCTCGCCAAGGTGAGCCCAGCTGTAGCGGTAGGTTGAGCCGAGCAGCAGCTGGAGGGCGAGCTGCGCGCGCACGCCAAGCGCCTGCGCGCCGAGCACGAGCGCGACCTGCGCCACTTCCGCGACACGCTCAAGCAGGAGCTGCGCCTGCTCAAGCAGGAGGTCGAGCTGCTCGCCAAGGTGAGCCCAGCTGTAGCGGTAGGTTGAGCCGAGCAGCAGCTGGAGGGCGAGCTGCGCGCGCACGCCAAGCGCCTGCGCGCCGAGCACGAGCGCGACCTGCGCCACTTCCGCGACACGCTCAAGCAGGAGCTGCGCCTGCTCAAGCAGGAGGTCGAGCTGCTCGCCAAGGTGAGCCCAGCTGTAGCGGTAGGTTGAGCCGAGCAGCAGCTGGAGGGCGAGCTGCGCGCGCACGCCAAGCGCCTGCGCGCCGAGCACGAGCGCGACCTGCGCCACTTCCGCGACACGCTCAAGCAGGAGCTGCGCCTGCTCAAGCAGGAGGTCGAGCTGCTCGCCAAGGTGAGCCCAGCTGTAGCGGTAGGTTGAGCCGAGCAGCAGCTGGAGGGCGAGCTGCGCGCGCACGCCAAGCGCCTGCGCGCCGAGCACGAGCGCGACCTGCGCCACTTCCGCGACACGCTCAAGCAGGAGCTGCGCCTGCTCAAGCAGGAGGTCGAGCTGCTCGCCAAGGTGAGCCCAGCTGTAGCGGTAGGTTGAGCCGAGCAGCAGCTGGAGGGCGAGCTGCGCGCGCACGCCAAGCGCCTGCGCGCCGAGCACGAGCGCGACCTGCGCCACTTCCGCGACACGCTCAAGCAGGAGCTGCGCCTGCTCAAGCAGGAGGTCGAGCTGCTCGCCAAGGTGAGCCCAGCTGTAGCGGTAGGTTGAGCCGAGCAGCAGCTGGAGGGCGAGCTGCGCGCGCACGCCAAGCGCCTGCGCGCCGAGCACGAGCGCGACCTGCGCCACTTCCGCGACACGCTCAAGCAGGAGCTGCGCCTGCTCAAGCAGGAGGTCGAGCTGCTCGCCAAGGTGAGCCCAGCTGTAGCGGTAGGTTGAGCCGAGCAGCAGCTGGAGGGCGAGCTGCGCGCGCACGCCAAGCGCCTGCGCGCCGAGCACGAGCGCGACCTGCGCCACTTCCGCGACACGCTCAAGCAGGAGCTGCGCCTGCTCAAGCAGGAGGTCGAGCTGCTCGCCAAGGTGAGCCCAGCTGTAGCGGTAGGTTGAGCCGAGCAGCAGCTGGAGGGCGAGCTGCGCGCGCACGCCAAGCGCCTGCGCGCCGAGCACGAGCGCGACCTGCGCCACTTCCGCGACACGCTCAAGCAGGAGCTGCGCCTGCTCAAGCAGGAGGTCGAGCTGCTCGCCAAGGTGAGCCCAGCTGTAGCGGTAGGTTGAGCCGAGCAGCAGCTGGAGGGCGAGCTGCGCGCGCACGCCAAGCGCCTGCGCGCCGAGCACGAGCGCGACCTGCGCCACTTCCGCGACACGCTCAAGCAGGAGCTGCGCCTGCTCAAGCAGGAGGTCGAGCTGCTCGCCAAGGTGAGCCCAGCTGTAGCGGTAGGTTGAGCCGAGCAGCAGCTGGAGGGCGAGCTGCGCGCGCACGCCAAGCGCCTGCGCGCCGAGCACGAGCGCGACCTGCGCCACTTCCGCGACACGCTCAAGCAGGAGCTGCGCCTGCTCAAGCAGGAGGTCGAGCTGCTCGCCAAGGTGAGCCCAGCTGTAGCGGTAGGTTGAGCCGAGCAGCAGCTGGAGGGCGAGCTGCGCGCGCACGCCAAGCGCCTGCGCGCCGAGCACGAGCGCGACCTGCGCCACTTCCGCGACACGCTCAAGCAGGAGCTGCGCCTGCTCAAGCAGGAGGTCGAGCTGCTCGCCAAGGTGAGCCCAGCTGTAGCGGTAGGTTGAGCCGAGCAGCAGCTGGAGGGCGAGCTGCGCGCGCACGCCAAGCGCCTGCGCGCCGAGCACGAGCGCGACCTGCGCCACTTCCGCGACACGCTCAAGCAGGAGCTGCGCCTGCTCAAGCAGGAGGTCGAGCTGCTCGCCAAGGTGAGCCCAGCTGTAGCGGTAGGTTGAGCCGAGCAGCAGCTGGAGGGCGAGCTGCGCGCGCACGCCAAGCGCCTGCGCGCCGAGCACGAGCGCGACCTGCGCCACTTCCGCGACACGCTCAAGCAGGAGCTGCGCCTGCTCAAGCAGGAGGTCGAGCTGCTCGCCAAGGTGAGCCCAGCTGTAGCGGTAGGTTGAGCCGAGCAGCAGCTGGAGGGCGAGCTGCGCGCGCACGCCAAGCGCCTGCGCGCCGAGCACGAGCGCGACCTGCGCCACTTCCGCGACACGCTCAAGCAGGAGCTGCGCCTGCTCAAGCAGGAGGTCGAGCTGCTCGCCAAGGTGAGCCCAGCTGTAGCGGTAGGTTGAGCCGAGCAGCAGCTGGAGGGCGAGCTGCGCGCGCACGCCAAGCGCCTGCGCGCCGAGCACGAGCGCGACCTGCGCCACTTCCGCGACACGCTCAAGCAGGAGCTGCGCCTGCTCAAGCAGGAGGTCGAGCTGCTCGCCAAGGTGAGCCCAGCTGTAGCGGTAGGTTGAGCCGAGCAGCAGCTGGAGGGCGAGCTGCGCGCGCACGCCAAGCGCCTGCGCGCCGAGCACGAGCGCGACCTGCGCCACTTCCGCGACACGCTCAAGCAGGAGCTGCGCCTGCTCAAGCAGGAGGTCGAGCTGCTCGCCAAGGTGAGCCCAGCTGTAGCGGTAGGTTGAGCCGAGCAGCAGCTGGAGGGCGAGCTGCGCGCGCACGCCAAGCGCCTGCGCGCCGAGCACGAGCGCGACCTGCGCCACTTCCGCGACACGCTCAAGCAGGAGCTGCGCCTGCTCAAGCAGGAGGTCGAGCTGCTCGCCAAGGTGAGCCCAGCTGTAGCGGTAGGTTGAGCCGAGCAGCAGCTGGAGGGCGAGCTGCGCGCGCACGCCAAGCGCCTGCGCGCCGAGCACGAGCGCGACCTGCGCCACTTCCGCGACACGCTCAAGCAGGAGCTGCGCCTGCTCAAGCAGGAGGTCGAGCTGCTCGCCAAGGTGAGCCCAGCTGTAGCGGTAGGTTGAGCCGAGCAGCAGCTGGAGGGCGAGCTGCGCGCGCACGCCAAGCGCCTGCGCGCCGAGCACGAGCGCGACCTGCGCCACTTCCGCGACACGCTCAAGCAGGAGCTGCGCCTGCTCAAGCAGGAGGTCGAGCTGCTCGCCAAGGTGAGCCCAGCTGTAGCGGTAGGTTGAGCCGAGCAGCAGCTGGAGGGCGAGCTGCGCGCGCACGCCAAGCGCCTGCGCGCCGAGCACGAGCGCGACCTGCGCCACTTCCGCGACACGCTCAAGCAGGAGCTGCGCCTGCTCAAGCAGGAGGTCGAGCTGCTCGCCAAGGTGAGCCCAGCTGTAGCGGTAGGTTGAGCCGAGCAGCAGCTGGAGGGCGAGCTGCGCGCGCACGCCAAGCGCCTGCGCGCCGAGCACGAGCGCGACCTGCGCCACTTCCGCGACACGCTCAAGCAGGAGCTGCGCCTGCTCAAGCAGGAGGTCGAGCTGCTCGCCAAGGTGAGCCCAGCTGTAGCGGTAGGTTGAGCCGAGCAGCAGCTGGAGGGCGAGCTGCGCGCGCACGCCAAGCGCCTGCGCGCCGAGCACGAGCGCGACCTGCGCCACTTCCGCGACACGCTCAAGCAGGAGCTGCGCCTGCTCAAGCAGGAGGTCGAGCTGCTCGCCAAGGTGAGCCCAGCTGTAGCGGTAGGTTGAGCCGAGCAGCAGCTGGAGGGCGAGCTGCGCGCGCACGCCAAGCGCCTGCGCGCCGAGCACGAGCGCGACCTGCGCCACTTCCGCGACACGCTCAAGCAGGAGCTGCGCCTGCTCAAGCAGGAGGTCGAGCTGCTCGCCAAGGTGAGCCCAGCTGTAGCGGTAGGTTGAGCCGAGCAGCAGCTGGAGGGCGAGCTGCGCGCGCACGCCAAGCGCCTGCGCGCCGAGCACGAGCGCGACCTGCGCCACTTCCGCGACACGCTCAAGCAGGAGCTGCGCCTGCTCAAGCAGGAGGTCGAGCTGCTCGCCAAGGTGAGCCCAGCTGTAGCGGTAGGTTGAGCCGAGCAGCAGCTGGAGGGCGAGCTGCGCGCGCACGCCAAGCGCCTGCGCGCCGAGCACGAGCGCGACCTGCGCCACTTCCGCGACACGCTCAAGCAGGAGCTGCGCCTGCTCAAGCAGGAGGTCGAGCTGCTCGCCAAGGTGAGCCCAGCTGTAGCGGTAGGTTGAGCCGAGCAGCAGCTGGAGGGCGAGCTGCGCGCGCACGCCAAGCGCCTGCGCGCCGAGCACGAGCGCGACCTGCGCCACTTCCGCGACACGCTCAAGCAGGAGCTGCGCCTGCTCAAGCAGGAGGTCGAGCTGCTCGCCAAGGTGAGCCCAGCTGTAGCGGTAGGTTGAGCCGAGCAGCAGCTGGAGGGCGAGCTGCGCGCGCACGCCAAGCGCCTGCGCGCCGAGCACGAGCGCGACCTGCGCCACTTCCGCGACACGCTCAAGCAGGAGCTGCGCCTGCTCAAGCAGGAGGTCGAGCTGCTCGCCAAGGTGAGCCCAGCTGTAGCGGTAGGTTGAGCCGAGCAGCAGCTGGAGGGCGAGCTGCGCGCGCACGCCAAGCGCCTGCGCGCCGAGCACGAGCGCGACCTGCGCCACTTCCGCGACACGCTCAAGCAGGAGCTGCACCTGAGCTGATAGCTGAGGTGGGGAGGCAGTTAGAGTAATTACAGTGGAAGTTCGAGCTCATCGCCAAAATGAGCCACTGCTAAGATTGCTACCAGAAGAGCTATTCAAAAAAAATTGACGAGGTGAGATGACAGTTGGTGTAGCTACAGTGTTAGAAGCTAGTTGACGAAGCAAGCCAGCAGCCAAAGTAACTACAGCGGGGGGAGGTTGAGCTCATCACGAAAGTGAGACGACAGCGGAAATAACTCCAGCGATTGTTGGAGCTCGTCGTCGAAGTGAGACGACAGCTTAAAATAGCTGTGCTTGCGCGTTAATCTGGTTTCATAGATGAAACGGCAGTTGAGGTAGCCACAACGCGAGCTCGTCATCGTCATATTAGAGTCGTGCTGGAACAGGTATTTTGGTATTATATAGAATTGTGTCCACAGGAATTACATGATTAAATTCCTCCCTCCCTTTTTCAACATTGGACAACCAGACAGTCGGCGGGACTCCACTTTTGTTCTGGTTGCTCCGTCTTTCATAATGCATACAGCTAAAGTGTGAAGTAATTTTGCCTATGTCTGTCTTTCCGCCCGTTTACTATCTTGATTTTGTTACGTTAAGGCTCGATATGCAGAGATAGTCTTGAATTCGTACAGAAACTTGACATTCACAAAGTTAGTATAAAAATTACACGATGGTGTCTATACTCGAAATATGACATTGTGAAATTTGAGTTTAAATTCGAAATTGTTTCTAAATATTGTGTTAAGATAGTGTGATTTATGATCTAGTACCTTATCGCAACTAACCTACTAATGATCAGACAGACTATTGATCACAAAACGACAGGATAAGATGAAAGTACGGGGGAGGGGGGGGGGGGGGGGTGAGACATAATTTTTGTTTTACGGATTTTATCGCGTACATTAACTTATTTTACTTGTACTTTTCAAATTAATATTACACCATAAAATCCGTAAAAACTAGTTTTATTTAAAAGAGAAAAGTAAAGTTTCATAACTTTTTTTTAGTTAATTATTTGAGTACGTTTTCTTGTTAACGATAAGGCTAGTTCTTCATTAAGTCCAATCCACATTCACATATCTGACGTTTCACAGGAGCGAAGGAAGGAAACGTACCGACAAAGGCGGGCGCGTTTGGACGCCGAGCATGCGGAGAGGGAACGCGCGTTCGTAGCGGCACTTGCCGATTCGGCCGACGCGGTTCTTCGGCGAGTGCACGAGCATCATCGAGAGAGACAAGCGCTCGCCGACAGGCAGTACTTGCAGCAACGGCAGCAGGTAATCATTGTGTGGTGGCGGTGCAAGAATATACACTACCGCAAATCGTCCCGTGGGTGTCGTAAGAGGCGACAGGGGGAAACTGAAACAAAGATGATGCAGAGCAGAAGCAGACATGGGCAGCCGCATCTTTCTGATAGCAACTAAAAATGATTTAAGAAAAACTGCTGGTGCCTAGCGTGACAACTAGACTTGCAACTAGTAATCGGCTATTATTCAGTATTCGACCTGTTTGACTCAGCCGAACATCGAATACTTATAAGAGGTTTTATTGTAGTCAGATAATGGGTAAAATGAGAATATTTATTTATTTTATAATTTTTTAAAATTTTCTTATAATCATTAAAGTAGTTACATAAACAACTTCCATACTATAAACATTAAAAAAGAACTATCAGAAAAATTCTATGTACTCGAATAATTGTAATTAAAGTGGAAGGTAATGATCCAGAAAGACTATTTTTTTCTTTTCAGGCAGTAGCGTACTCCTCTTCTTATATACAATCGAATCAAATACACGCTCTGATTAAAAAAAACAGTACTTCCTTCCTGGCCGAATACTTCTGTGTAATATATTCTGCTAGGAAGTCCGCAGAATATTCGGTATTCGGCGTATGACCGAATATAATATTTGTTGCAAGTCTAGTGTTAACTATAAGATTTTAAAATTTTTAATAATAGATTTAATTGCACCTCATCTTGCTATTATTTTTAATACTTGTATCGATTCTGGTGTGTTTCCTGATTTAATGAAGTATAGTAAAGTAATACCTTTATTTAAATCTGGTAGTACATTGGACCCCGCTAATTATAGACCTATTTCTGTACTACCAACTCTCAGTAAAATTTTTGAAAAAATAATTTTGGATCAATTGTTAATTTTTTTTAATACAAATAAATTACTTCATAAAAGTCAATTTGGTTTTACAAGGGGTCGCTCGACGTTTGACGCCGGTGTTGAGCTTATGAAATATATTTTTAATGCCTGGGAGAATTCACAAGATGCCTTAGGTATTTTCTGTGACCTTTCCAAGGCTTTCGATTGTGTTCATCATGATACATTAATCAGGAAACTACAACATTACGGTGTAAAAAATTTGGCGCTTAAACTTATTACTTCATATTTAAGTAACAGAACTCAAAAAGTCGTCATTAATGGTAAATGTTCCTCCGGATCGGTAGTATCAATGGGCGTTCCTCAGGGCTCGATTCTTGGCCCATTCCTGTTCTTAATCTATATTAATGACTTACCTTATCTTTTAGGGGACAATCACGATATAGTATTATTTGCTGCCGATACCTCTTTAATTTTCAAACTGAAACGGCCGTCAATTAAATATGACGATGTAAATAATGCTCTATCGAAACTAGTACATTGGTTTAACGCCAACAATTTGCTCTTAAACGGCAATAAGACAAAATGTATTAAATTTACAATACCTAATGTAAAACATTCGAAAACCAATGTGCTCTTAAATGGGGAGGAGTTGAGTCTTGTGGATACCACTGTTTTTCTCGGTATTACTATTGACGCGAAACTTCAATGGGGCCCCCATATATCTAAATTAGCAAGCAGAATTAGTTATGCAGCATATGCTGTAAGAAAGATTAGAAGTCTCACAGATGTTGAGACAGCTAGGTTAGTGTATTTTAGTTACTTTCATAGCGTAATGTCTTATGGAATTTTGCTATGGGGTAATGCGACTGATATTGAAGCTATATTTGTTTTGCAAAAGAGAGCCGTACGGGCGATTTATAATCTAAATTGTAAAGAGTCCCTTAGAGAAAAATTTAAAGAAATAAACATATTAACTTTGGCATCGCAATATATTTATGAAAATGTAATGTATGTACATAGAAACATAAATGGCTTTAATAAGAATAAGGATGTTCATACCTTAAACACTAGGAACAAACATAGGCTTGTAATGCCACTTACTAGACTCCACAGAATTAGTAATTCATTTATGGGGCAATGTATACGCTTTTACAACAGAATCCCAGAACATGTTCAAAGTTTGTCAATAAACAAGTTTAAAAGTTTTATTAAAGAAAAAGGGTTATTATAATATCAAGGAATACATGAATGAAAATAACCCCTGGGAATAAGGTGATCGCCACCATGCTGGTTCTATGAAAATTCATTTAAAATTGTATAAACAAAATAATTGTTAAGTGAAATTATGTTTAAAAAAAAAAGTCCCGCTGGGTTTCTTGCTGGTTCTTCCCAGGACAGAGGTATTTTCCGAACCAGTGGTAAATAAAATAATGACTTTCAATAAGTATTATGTAATAATCCATATTGAATAAAAATAATTCTATTCTATTCTATTCTATTTTGGCATATTTTAATATATTCGCCTTTCGACACCCACGGGATGAAATGACGGGCTGTATATTACATCATCATCATTACAGCCCTTCACAAGTCCACTGCTGAACATAGGCCTCCCCCAAAGAATGCCACAAAGCACGGTCCTGAGCCACCTGCATCCATCGACTTCCTGCATGTCTTACCAGGTCGTCACTCCATCTCGTGGGGGGACGCCCTACACTTCACCTACCGGTACGAGGCTGCCACTCGAGAACCTTTCTTCCCCATCGGTTGTCGGTTCTTCGAGCTATATGGCCGGCCCACTGCCACTTCAGCTTACTAATCCGTTGGGCTATGTCGGTTACTCTGGTTCTACTGCGGATATCCTCATTCCTAAGTTTATCACGCAGAGAAACTCCGAGCATAGCCCTCTCCATAGCTCGCTGAGCGACCTTGAGCTTCCTCATACGGCCAGCAGTGAAGGACCACGTCTCAGTTCCATAAGTCATCACTGGCAACACGCACTGGTTGTACAATTTCGTTTTCAGGTTTTGAGGTATGTCTGACGAGAAGATGTGTCGTAGCTTCCCGAACGCTGCCCAGCCGAGTTGAATCCGTCGATTGACCTCTCGGTCGAAGTTGGACTTACCTAGTCGGACTATTTGTCCCAGGTAAACATACTCGTCAACAACTTCGAGCTTAGTGCTCCCAACAACTACCGGCATAGGTGTGACATGGACATTGAACATGATCTTTGTTTTATCCATGTTCATCTTAAGACCTATCCGTTGGGAAACACTATCGAGGTCATTGAGCATCGTGCTTAGGTCCTCCAGCGATTCTGCCATAAGGACTATATCGTCGGCAAATCGAAGGTGAGTGATGTACTCGCCATTGATGTTGATACCGTATCCTTTCCAGTCCAGAAGCTTGAAAACGTCTTCCAATGCAGCGGTGAAGAGTTTCGGGGATATGACGTCACCCTGTCTTACACCTCTCTGCAATTGGATAGGTTTCGTACTCTGGTTCTGTACTCGGATAGCCATCGTAGCCCTACTGTACAAGCACTTCAACACTTCGACAGTCAACTTGGCACCGCTGAAGGGACTGCAGCACCGCCCAAATTTCGACGGAATCAAAGGCTTTCTCATAGTCCACATACGCCAGACATAGTGGCAAATTGTACTCTTCGGACTTCTGTACAATTTGCCGAAGGGTATGTATGTGGTCTATGGTGCTAAAGCCCTTTCGGAAACCGGCTTGTTCGGGAGGCTGGAAGTCGTCAAGTCTGCGCGAATATAATATATATATATATATTACATATATATATATATATTTTTTTTTAAACGTTACCCCCACACTAGGATTTTCTCCTGTGTCGTGGAGGCAGTTTACAAATATAAATTGCACAAGGACAAACATCCAGACCCGGAACAATTATTTGTAGGCCATACAAATACTTGTTCCGTGCGGGATTCGAACCCGCGGCCCCGCGGTCAATTATATTATTATAATACATTGACATTATATGAAATTTATGTATATATATGACTAATTTGAACTGAACTTTTTAACTATTCGATGTCATAAGGGCTTCACAAATTCATTGACACTTGCCACGATAAAAGTACGTTTAAATTCCGTTATTTTAATCCGCCTTATTTATTGTTTTAAGTTCAAAAACTTTATTTAAGTATATGAAATATATATTTGCCACACGCTATTTTCTCCTCGCGGTAAAAATGTCAGCCGATATATTATTCACTATCCATCCGCTCCAGTTTCGCACGGTTGATTTCTGGATCTCGACAATACCACCTACCGGCTCCAATTGTGAATCTAAATCATTCTCTAATCAACTTAATCACACACACAAAATTTGATCAAAATCGGTGCAGCCATTTAAGAGTTCAGTCACATACACACGGACAGTAGAATTATATAATATAATCTTCCTCTTGAATTATTCTGGCTATTGATGAAGACTGTATCAAAATCCGTTGCGAAGTTTAAAAGATCTAAGCGTACAGACTGCGAGAAGCGACTTTGTTTTACAGTGTTATTTTCTAACTTCTTGTGTGGTGACATAGATAGATATCACCACAACTAACTTCATTAAAAAGTTGAAGATGTCTGTCAATATTCCCAGATAATGAGGACCCGGGAAGCGGCGTTGTGGGAGCTGGAGGAGAAACAGATCCACGAGAGACACCAGCTCGCCAAGCGGCAGCTCAAGGACGAGTTTCTATTGAGGCGGCATCAGATGCTAGTGCGGCACGACAAAGAGTTAGAGCAGATCAAAAGGTACCTTTTAGGTTTAGTTTTTATTTCACCTATGTATTAACTAATATTTTATCGGACTTCAAAAAGGAGGAGGTACTCAATATGTGTTGTGATGATAAAAAAAAATAATGTTACGATTCACGTCATAATTGAGATGGGTCATGTTTCTCAACTTGGAAAAATATTGGAGGGTAGGAATTGGTTACGGACAGCGGAGGGCCGCAGTCGCGATCGCGAGAAGTGGGAATTTTTGTCAGACATTGGAAGTTTGATGCACAAAAGTTTACGTACATATTATAGCTGTGTATCAGTTAATTTTGTGTTATTTAAATACATATTTTATTCGTGGAACGTTAATTTTAGAGGTGCAACGGGTCTGTGGAAACGCCCATTAAGTTAATTGTGATCATACGCCTTCCTATATCTCTGGCAAAGAATTATTAAAAACTCTACTTCGTCATAAAACATGAGGACATAGAGAGATGATACTAAATCCTAATTTGATTTGAAACGTCATCGGCAGGCATAGCCTATCGGGATAGCGGCCAAGTACATTGAGCGACTTCTTCAAATTCATGGTTCAAACCTCCGAATAAAAATATTGAAATTTATTTTTATGATTTTGCTTTTTCTTTTATTATTTATTAAGTTTGCTTTTTTTGTAATGATACTTTATTTATAAGTCTTGTTTACTAAAGTAAAAGAGCTGGTGGTAAATTTTATGTTTTATTATATTTCATTTTATTTTTCTAGTTAATGCGTAGCTGTAGAATTAGTTAAAATTTTAGTGCTTACATATCTTAGAGTTAGGATAATTTGTAGTTTTTTTATGCTTAAAGCTATTTAGTTAATTGTTTTGTAGTGTTGAGTTGTTGTAGGCTTTTATGTTGCAATTAAATAACTTATACCAAAACACCGCACATTTGTTTCTTATCTTGCCTGGACCCCGACCCCTAGGGCTTGAGTAAACCCATGACAGTGTTTTTTTTTTTTTTTTTTTTTTTTTTTTTTTTTTTTTTTTTTTTTTTTTTTTTTTTTTTTTTTTTTTTTTTTTTTTTTTTTTTATAGGATAAGGGTGACAAACGAGCACACAGTCCACCCGATGGTAAGTGGTCGCTGTGGCCCATAGACATCTACATCTACCTTCGATTAAGAGTCAAAATGCAGATGCGTTGTCACCCGTGAGGACTAAGATGGAATGCCTCGTTTCCAGTAAAAAGGGTCTCCGGTTCTCTACACTCACCATACGAAACACAGCAGCGTTAAGCTGCTATTTTACGCTGGTATTCTGTGAGAGCGTGGTCCTTCCCCGGTCGAGCCGACCCATTCGTGCTACAACCATAATATAGATGCAGCATGGCTCTACCACGTATAAAATGTGTTACCACAGAACTTTATCTAGGTGAACCGATTTGGATGATTCTTTTTTTATTTGAAAGCTGGTGCTTCTCATGTGGTCCCCTATAAATTTGATCAACATCCGACCTGTAGTTTTTGAGTTATCCTTCAATAAATTGTATTGAAGTCGGTTGTACTACATTTTTAATTCTACTACTTGTGTAGATTCCATTTGATAGTATGTGGCTATTCTAGCCCAAAACGACAGTTTGGTATCAGCAATCATCTTTTTTCTAAGGGTTTTTATCACCTATCTATTCATTAATATTTTATTATTACACTAGCTGTCCCCCGCGACTTTATCCGCGTGTAATATTACGCTTAGATTTCACGGGTTTTAATATTTTGCGCAGAACCCTAGCTATTGTTTGAAAATAAAAGTAGCCCAAGTTACTCCTTATAACATCAGCTGTCTGCCAGTGAAAGTCCAGTCAGAATCGGTTTAGCCATTTCGGATATTAGTCGGAACAAACAGACAGACAAAAATTTTAAAAATTGTTTTTTTTTTTTTTTTGTTATACCGTATGTACTTTCATATGCATTTGGTAAAAAGATGTTATTTTGATATTACAAATAGACACTTCAGTTTTATTTATTTGTATAGATGTGAGGTGAGTAAAAATGATAATTAGAATGACAATTTCTCTTTTTATTATGTGGTATGTTTGCAACATAAATGGTTTTGATCAGGGAAGAAACATGCTCTCACAGAACATCAGCGTGAAATAGCAGCTTAATGCTGCTGTATTTCGTATGGTGAGTGTAGAGAACCGGAGTTCCTTTTTGCTGGAAACGAGGCATTCCATCTTAGTCCAAGTGTGAAACTCAAACCAGTAAGGGTAGAAGAAGTCCTGCTAGACTGAATGGAATGCTAATGGTGATGATATATAATTTCAAATAAATTTTTCGGTACAATACCCGTGCTGCCTACTGCAAAATTGTATTATGCCTATAACTTTCAGCAGAAATCTGATGAACGGTATGGCAGCGCATGAAATACGAACAAACAAACATTAATTTTTATATATTAGAATATTGAATAAAAAAGGGCTATGCTCGGGGTTTCTCTGCGTGATAAACTTAGAAATGAGGATATCCGCAGTAGAACCAGAGCTATCGACATAGCGCAAAGGATTAGTAAGCTGAAGTGGCAATGGGCCGGCCATATAGCTCGGAGAACCGACAACTGATGGGGAAGAAAGGTTCCCGAGTGGCAGCCTCGTACCGGCAGGCGAAGTGTAGGACGTCTTCCCACTAGATGGAGTGACAACCTGGTAAGACATGCAGGAAGTCAATGGATATAGGTGGCTCGGGATCGTGCTTTTTGGTATTCCTTGGGGGAGGCCTATGTTCAGCAAGTGGTCTTGTGAAGGGCTGTAATGATGATGATGATGATGAATAAAAAAGTTTGTTTCTGTTTAAAAATATTTATTATTTTGCTCGAGTCATCGAATAATCGTGCAATATAACAATGTTTTGTTTGGTCTCGCTAGGAAGAACAGCCGCAAGGAGGAAGAGCTGGCCAAGTGCCAAGCGCTGGAGAAGCGGTCGCTGCCGAAGCGGATCCGCGCCGAGCAGAAGGCGCGCGAGATGATGTTCCGCGAGTCGCTTCGCATCGCCGGACCAACGGGCCCCGCGGCACACGAGGACGACCGCGAGAGGCTCAAGAAGGTACCACCTGCCCCAACCATTTTTAAGGTTCCGTACCTCAAGGGTAACCAACGGGACTCTATTACTAAGCCTCCGCTGTCCGTCCGTCCGTCCGTCCGTCCGTCCGTCCGTCCGTCCGTCCGTCCGTCCGTCCGTCCGTCTGTCTGTCTGTCAGCGGGCTGTATTCATGATCCGTAATAGGTAGACAGTTGAAATTTTCACAGAATGTGTATTTCTGTTGCTCCTATAACAACAAATAATAAAAATTAAAATAAATTAAAAATGGCTCCCCTACAAAAACGTGTATTACGATGGTATAGACTCGCACTTGGTCGGTTATTCTAACTCAAGTCACAAGAGTCCCAAAGTCCATCAAGCAAGTCACTCTCCTAACATGCTTGAACTAGTGAAATCTAGTAGTACTTGATGAAACCTAAGATGTTTATAAAGTATAGATACGTCATACTCGCTCTAAAATGGCAATACGAAAGTCAGGTAATTGCCCGACTCGCATTCATTCGGACACGCTCTCCCGTCGCGACGATACCTGCGCTACAGCGCGTAAATCTTCTAGTTATTCGTGGTAAAAATGCCTTCCTGTGTTTTTAGGTAGTGCAAAAATTACACGGCAACTGTTAGAAACAAGAAAAACGATTTTGAATATAGATGTTTTGTCCATAATTGGTTTTATTATTTCAAGACTAACCGCTAGTGTAAACTTTGACGCTAGCTTGTGTGTTTATTTCCATATCGGTATGTCACGCGCGCGCCCCAATGAGCGCTCGGCAGCAATCAATACGCAACTAAGGATGTATATTCATCTTTTTCTAACGCTAGGTATGCCGTATCATTTGTCTCTTTTTGTTAGAGTAACGTGTTATAATAAATAACTGTACGTAGATATCGTACTACCTGCGCCACTTTAAAATACAATAATGTTAGTGTGTAACTTGTCTATCTTTTTTAATACGTCTTTGGATGTAACCATCTGAATCAACTGCACACTTACAATCTGCACCCGACTGCCACAGGGTTATGTTTTCAAAGTATATGCATGTATGTATGTTTGTCTGTTTCTTTGATACGCACTGTACCCTGAACGACTTGGTGGTTTTTATACATATGGGGTCTCTCTCGTTTGAATCATCATTGTTGTGGAAGTGACATAGGAATTATAATAAAATTAACGAATTCATAGACAAACAACAACGGCATGTGACGTCACAATAGCAGTTGCGACTGCTATTGTGAAATGGTCGGCGCTAGGCATCTTAGTCCTCAGGGGTAACAACACATCTGCATTTTGATTCTTAATTGCGGACAAATGTAGATGTCTATGGGCCAAGGCATCCACTTACCATCGGGTGGACTGTGTGCTCGTTTGTCACCCTTATTCTATATAATAAGAAAAACGACGTCGTACCAGCTAGAAGCCATCGTACAATCTGTTATGTGACATTTTTAAACCTTTCCCCACTCGTTTCAGTTCCAGGAGAATGAGAAGCGAAGGTATAGAGCTGAACAGCAGAGGTTGGCGACAAAGCACGCCAAGGCGAAGGAAGAACTCAAGGCTGCAGGAGAGGTATCCGTTGTTTGTGTTTTATCTAACTTTGTAACCATATTATGCAATGAAATTCGTTATGATGGTTTCGGTAATTGAGTTAATGGATTCTATGTAACCACATTATGTATGGTTAGCAAAAAAATATAAACGAGTAAATGGATGGTACTTTAACTATATATTTACCGTGTAAGAATATTCACTACCCCATATCATCCCGTGGGTGTCCTAAGACATAAGAGGCGACAGAGTGAAATAAATCAGATGAGCAGCAACGTCTTCCTAATAACGACTAAAAATAAAAAACTGCGGTCGCCAACCAGCTTGCCAAGCGTGGCAACTATGGCAAATAGTCCCCCCCTATGAAGCAGTCTATGGGGGAGACCTATGTACGGCAGAGGACTTTAATAGGCTGTAATGTATGGATTTTTTTTTATAGGATAAGGGTGACAAACGAGCACACAGTCCACCTGATGGTAAGTGGTTGCTGCGGCCCATAGACATCTACATCTATTCTCTGTCACAAATCAAAATGTAGATGCGTTGTCACCCGTGAGGACTAAGATGGAATGCCTCATTTCCAGTAAAAAGATAATCTATCAGGAACACATGACCCATTGAGGTGAAATTTTCAAATCAACAGTAACATTACAACTATGGCAAATATCTCCTCTATGAGGCAATCTGAGGGAGGCCTTTGTTCAGCAGTGGACTTTGATATGCTGAAATGGTAACGGTAACTACATATTTTTGAAAAAAATTGTTAATTTTTTTTTATAAAATGTTACCTCTACAATAGGATTTATTCCTATATCGTACATAAATTGTACAAGTATGCACATCTAGACCAGGAACACTTATTTGTAGAACTTACAAACACTTGTTCTGTGCGGTATTCGAAGCGGCTGCTCTGCAGCGCCACAACCAAAAGCTCAGCCATTGTGCTACAAAACCTTTCCAAAAATTAAAAAAAATTATCAATACATATTATTATAACAAATATTTATGGAAGTAACATGTCGTGATTTACATGATGGGCAGCTGCATCTTCCTAATAAGAATAAAAAATAAAAGCTGTAATCAATATGGAAATGGTATCAGTTAACACCTCAAATATTAAGTAAAATAAAATTTTTTTAAGCTTTTAATCTTTTTTAATAATTTCATAAAACATAAAAATTTTAAAAATTGCGAAGAGAAATTTAAAGTATCTTATGCATTTTGGTTATAAGGTAGATAGATAGATCTATTACAAGGATTACGTTATTTTTTTCTGGTTTCTGGATGAAATGCTAAAACCATAAAACCAGTTGTTCGAGCAATATTGTAATGCGTGTGTGTTGTATGTAAGATGAACAGTATACAAGTGTGAGTGAGGTCTTTAATAAGGTAAAATGTAATTTAAATGTTTAGTAGCAAATAAACCACCGTATCATTGACACCTTGTTTCTGTGATCAGTCCCTGTAAAAGTAGTGAACCTTAATACCAAAACATATGGTCGATAATCGAGCCGGATCTAACGACGTGTCTCTTGTGACGTTATAACTATCAAGTACTAAACAAAAGGACGGACCGGGCGGTCGAGGCGAAAACAAAGGAACCTTTTTTTACCTGAGTGTGACTTGTGCAAGTTATAAGACATTTTACGAACGTTTAAATAATTACATATTTGAGTTATCGAAGTGAAACTAGTTTGTTTATAATACATTTGTGGAACGTTTTATACATTTGTGGAACGTTTAAATAAATATGGCCACTACTCCGGAACAAATATTATCTTTATTAGAAAATACTGCGGCATTATTACAAAAGGCTCAGAACAACCTAAAGAAATGTCCTAAGCAGCGACTTACAAAAGGATACATTGAAACTCGACTGCAAATGATAGAAGAGTATTGGAATTCTTTTAAAAAATCACATCAAGAGCTTGTAAAATGTGTTCCCAAAGAAAAGAAGCAAAATATACCTTATTACGCAAACGAAGACTATTTTATTTATGAGGATCTATATTTATGTTTACAAGCCGACCTAAGAGATTTATTGTCAACATTAACACAGCTGATATCATTGCATCCTAGTATACCTACCAACCCTATTACATCCAATGAAGGAATAGTCAAATTACCACGGATACAACTGCCTTCTTTCACCGGTATTTACGAAGAATGGCCTGCATTTCAAGATCTATTTATGTCGTTAGTGCACAACAACTCATCTCTTAGTAAAGTACAAAAACTTCACTATTTAAAGAGTAGCCTTAGTGGTGAAGCCGAAACTCTGTTGAAGCATATTCAAGTAACAGAAGATAATTATGATCAGTCATGGGTGATGCTTAAAACTCGTTACGGAAATAAACGTATAATAGTAAATTCTCTATTGAAAAGATTATTTATGCAGAGGAAAATCCCTGCCCAAACTGCAAACTATATAAAAGCACTTCTCGATACCACTACAGAATGCATTAATAGCTTAAAAAATCTTACAATTTCAACCGACTCTTGGGATCCATTAATTATATTTCTCGTTGTGCAGAAGTTGGACCCGGAGACGCACAGAGAATGGGAGGAGTTTGCTTACCGGGAAAATTCTGACGAATTACCTTTGTGGGCGGATCTCTGTAAGTTTTTACATTCGAAATTTCGTACATTAGAGTTAATCACACCTTCACCAAGGGACAAGATAATAAGAAATAAAGAAAATACGCTACATGTTGTTACTGCGGCTACGTCTAAATTAAGGAGTTGCCTGATGTGTAAAGAAAATCATACACTGTGTCACTGTAGGGAATTTTCTAAGATGGAACCAACAGAAAGGTGTCAATATCTAAAGAACCACAATCTGTGTTTTAATTGTTTGGCCCCAGGACACTCTGCAAAGAAATGTCGCCTCAACATGTCCTGTCGTATATGTCATAAACGTCACCACTCTTTAGTGCACCAAAACATGGTGACGTCATCAAATCAACCAGACAATGACCAAGCGCATGAAGCGAAGAATAATGATCAAGGAAGCTCTGCAAATCCAACAATATCAAATGTTCAGTTATCATCACACTTTGCTACTAGTACCACCACAGCTTTATTGGCTACAGCACTCATAGTTGTCAGGGATCAACTGGGACATACAGCTGTACTACGTGCCTTAATAGACCATGGCTCACAAGCCACATTTATAAGTGAAAGAGCTGCTCAGACACTTAAACTGAAACGCACTGCTATTAAAGGTACAGTTACAGGCATGGGATGCAGCAAAACAATTTTGAAGCAAGCTGCTGAAATACAACTTTTATCAAGATACGAAGCAAACTTTAACCTCAATATCAAAGTTTACATAATGCCAACTCGTCTTACATGTCAGTTACCAACTCGAACCATTTGCCTGAAGAACTGTTCACACCTCCAAGGCCTCGTTTTAGCAGATCCAGGCTTCAATCAACCAGGACGTATAGATATGTTATTAGGTGTGGACATATGTGCCCAAATTATGAAAGGTGAAGTAATCAAAGGTCCTCCAGGCACTCCATGTGCTCAAAATACCAGCCTGGGATGGATTCTGTTTGGCCACATACAAAGCAACAGAGAAAATTATGAGGTCAGTGTCATGCATCTTAATTTGAATTTAGATGACATGCTGAGGAATATGTGGGAGCAAGGTACAGATGAAAAAAGAGCATTAACAGCAGAAGAAAAAACATGTGAAGAAATATATCAAGCTACAACGCACAGAACATCAGAAGGACGTTATATTGTAAAACTTCCAACAAAACAAAAAACACTTTTATCACCATCAGGAAGAACAAGAGATATAGCACTAAGAAATTTGTATCAATTAGAAAAGAAATTCGAAAAAGATCAAAGCTTAGAAAGTGAATACACAAGGGTGATGCAAGAATATATAGAGTTAAATCATTTAGAGAGAGTACCAGAAAATGAAATTAACAACCCAGCAGTATACCTTCCTCATCATGCCGTTGTAAGGCAAGATAAAGAAACAAGTAAAGTGAGAACAGTTTTTAATGCTTCGCAAAAGGGAAACAATAATATTTCCCTCAATGAAGAGCTACTGGTAGGACCACAGTTGCAAGACGATATGAGAAGCTTAATCATGAGATGGCGAATGAAAAGGATCTGTTTTGTTGCTGACATCCAAAAATGTACCGTCAAATTTTAGTCTCAAAAGAAGATAGAGATTTACAAAGGATATTATGGAGAAATTGCAAAATCCAACCAGTACAAGATTATCGTCTCCTGAGAGTTACGTTTGGAACTGCTTCTGCTCCATATTTAGCAGTAAGAACCTTGCATCAAGTTGCGGAAGACGAAGGTCGAGATTACTCTGATGCTGCCAGAATTATAAAGGAAGACTTTTACATGGATGATCTGATGTCAGGCAAGGACACACTTCAAGATGCAATCAAAGTAGCGAAAGAGATTGGGTTTATTTTGCAGAAGGGAGGTTTCACACTTCGGAAGTGGTGCTCAAACAACGCAGAGTTCTTAAAACAATTTGAACCCTCTGAAAGAAGTTCTCAAGTACACCTAGATATAAAGATAGATGGAACAATACGGGCACTAGGCTTACAATGGGACATGGGAAAGGATGTATTTAAATATAGTCTTCACTTACCTTCTATGGCTGCTACTGTAACTAAGAGAACAATCCTCGCCGACATTCAAAGATTATTTGATCCACTTGGCTGGTTAGCACCTTCTATATTGCCTGCAAAATTACTCATCCAACATTTATGGATACAAGGAATTTCATGGGATGAAGAAGTTAACCACTTAATTGCAGAAAAATGGAGAAAACTGCGAGAAAGCTACCAATACTTACCTGAGATAGAGATCAACCGATGGCTGCATACATCTGAAAATGTAATGAATAATGTTACAGTTCATGGTTTTTGTGACGCATCTACTCAAGCATACGCTGCAGTTGCTTACTTAAGAGTTCAAACTATAGATGGATTGGTTAAGACAGAAATAATTGCAGCGAAAACACGTTTAGCTCCTATCAAACCTCAATCCTTACCTCGTTTGGAGCTTAACGGGGCTGTACTCCTGGCGGGACTCCTGAAAAAAATAAAGGAAGCTATGAAAATACCTACCTGTCAAATATTCGCGTGGACGGATTCCACCACAGTACTCTCTTGGCTTTTGGGAGATCCTGCAAGGTGGAATACATTTGTGAGAAACAGAGTTGTTGAGATATTAGACAACATTGGCAACCAGAACTGGTATCACGTCCAATCACAAGACAACCCTGCTGATGCAGCTTCTAGAGGGAAGCACGTGCTAGATCTGAAAGGTGATAAAATGTGGTGGAACGGTCCTGAATGACTAAGCACAAATAATATTAAATACAGCAGACCAGCAAACATAACAACGAACCTAGAAAGAAAGATCATATCAGTACAAGTGAATCTAAAACAAACAAACGAAAGTTCTAGTATAGCTACTAAGTTTAACAGATTTGATAATTTAACAGAACTATTAAAAGTTATAACATATTGCAAAAGATTCTTCAAAGGAAGGGAATTGGAAAATAAGGCAACTACAATAACTACAAAAGAATTAGAAGAAGCTTTAAAAACATGTATAAAAATTGTACAAGGGGACACATTTGAAGAAGACATACAAAACCTAAAATCGATAAAAAGGGTAAAAAATTATAGTAAAATAAAGTCTCTTTTACCTTACCTGGATGATGAAGGTATCCTCAGGGTGGGCGGCCGATTACGTCACTCTGACCTTGATGAAAATTGCAAACATCCTATTATATTAGACAGCGAAGATCACTTGAGTGCACTTATAGTATCTGATGCTCACTTGAAGACGCTACATGGTGGAACGCAATTGATGCTTGGATATTTAAGATTAAAATACTGGATCCTGAAATCAAAGAAATTGGTAAAAATTAAAATTCGCAATTGCCTCATATGTGCCAAGCAAAACGCTGTAGCTAAATCACAATTAATGGGAGACTTACCTCGTGTAAGAATTACGCCTGCTCGACCCTTTCTACACAGTGGAGTAGACTTTGCCGGCCCTTACCAAATCCTGAGATCTAAAAGTAGAGGATTTAATACAATTAAGGCTTACATAGCAATCTTTGTTTGCATGTCAACGAAAGCCATACACCTAGAATTGGTTGGAGACCTTACCTCGGAGGCCTTTATTGGAGCTTTCAGAAGATTTGTAGCAAGAAGGGGAAGATGTGCACATCTATGGAGCGACCAGGGAAGAAACTTCGTAGGTGCCAACAAAGAACTTGTAGCAGCTTGGGTAGACGCAAAGATGAAGTTTGAGGGTCATATTTCTGAAATGTTAGCATTAGATGGCACACAATGGCATTTCATACCTGCCTATAGTCCTCACATGGGCGGATTATGGGAAGCAGGTGTCAAATCAATGAAATACCACATGAAAAGAATATTGACTTGCAACCTAACCTATGAAGAAATGACGACCTTACTGTATCAAATAGAAGCTTGCCTTAACTCACGCCCTCTTAGCCCTATTGATGACTCAGACACGGACAACATACTGCCACTTACCCCAGGGCACTTCTTAATAGGCGAAGCTCCAATCAATGTACCCCACTCTGATCTAAAGAACATTCCTGTCAGTCACTTGTCACGATGGCAACATCAACAGAAGCTTCTATCAGATTTTTGGCGAAGATGGCAACAAGAGTACTTGACCAGGTTACAGCAGAGACCTAAGTGGCAAGAAAAAGTGAAGGAATTTGAAATAGGGCGCATTGTTCTTATGAAATGTGACAATCTCCCTCCTGGCAAATGGATGCTGGGTCGTGTGGTGGATAAGCACCCAGGTCATGATGGAGTGACTAGGGTGTATAGTGTTAAAAGTGGTGAAAGTGTAGTGCAAAGACCAATGAACAAATTGTGTCCTTTACCTATAGATATAGACTGATGTTTTATTCTAAATCATTTATGGTTAAATTTTATTTTGCATGTATTAAATGTTCTAGTATGTATTCCCATTTACATGAAAATTGTGTCAAATAGTTTTTTTATTTTTTATTTTGATTGGAATATGTCCATTACTATAAAGCTTAATGAATTTAGGGTGTTACCTTTATCAAAAATGTATGTAATCACATATATTGTATAACAAATGTCATGTAAAATTATTATATTTGGAGAATGTCTGAAATGTAACAAGTTAGATAATAAAGGACTTTATGAGTCCTTTGGTGGGCGGCATGTTCGAGCAATATTGTAATGCGTGTGTGTTGTATGTAAGATGAACAGTATACAAGTGTGAGTGAGGTCTTTAATAAGGTAAAATGTAATTTAAATGTTTAGTAGCAAATAAACCACCGTATCATTGACACCTTGTTTCTGTGATCAGTCCCTGTAAAAGTAGTGAACCTTAATACCAAAACACCAGTCGATTATTTTGACTTTCTAATCATTTCAATAATAATGTAAAGGATGTTCCTGGAAAACAACGCAGTCCGTTCAATTATGACACCTATAACCAACACCGTACGGTCGAATCCACAGGCTCTCCTCAGGGAACTGGAACAGTACCAGAATGAGAAGCGCAAGGCTCTCATGAACCACGAGAGCAACAAGATGAAGGCCGTCGAGGAGAGATACGCTCTCGAGCTGAAGGAATGGAGGGCCACCCTCGGAGATAGGAAGTTGGTAAGTCAACATATGTACACACAAACACAAATTCTGTTGTATCACAAATCAATGTAAACACTCGCTGGACAGGAAGTTAGTCAATATAACACTCCAACACTTGCTTGTCTTAACATATAACCCAGTATTGCCAGATTTATTTGAATATTCGTACCTATAATAGTGTCATAATTAAAAAAAATATTGTTTATCTGGCAACATTGGTTGGTCTGGTAATCCTATTTAAAGGTTAAACTATTCAGCTTATCATACGCTATTCTTTTTCTCTATATTTTTTGCTACTGTAAAAAATATACACAATACAAAAAATTACAAAAAATACAAAAGATTTTGATCACGTATCACAATCTGTAAAATATCATTTTGTCATAATTATAACATTTACAGGAGTAAATGTGGATATTGCATGTTTTATAAGGTATGGGAGCGGAAATGATTTTCATTTTTTTAATTTGTTTTTTAATTACTTTATATTTTGAACTTTATTAATGTTTGTGCTAAATATGACAGTAATTCATGTAATTTTTACATAATAAAATCGAAGGTGGGCTTCGGATGTTGTGAAAGACATAATCACAACTCTTCTAGATTTAAAATATATAAAACTCCCATCCATTTCCCAACCCTGCATTACAGCCTATAAAAGTACACTGCTGAACATGGCCTCCCTTATGACAACTCTTTGAATAATTAGCCTATATAATGTTTGAGTTGCGGGATTCGATCGCATCTAATCCTTTATTCACTGTACTACTTGGCCCTTTAAGGTTAATTTTAATACAATAACTTCATTTATTTGCTCAATATATTCATAGAAATTGAAAGTCGTTTCCACTTTCACATATACAGTAGCGTGAAGTATGCACGTGATTTTGCATGTCTCCAGCATGAATCATTACAACGGTTATCAAGCGAGTCACTGGGATATGATATCAGACCACTTGTTTGGTAATACAGCTATGGGGTTGTGTAACTTTGGTGTTAATTGTTTGCCTGTAGGAATCACACCTGCAACAGTGTTATATAACATAATAATAAGATTTTTATATAAAAATGCCAGTCTACACCCCTTTTCACGGTTCACAGTTAACTTCATCATTCTGTTAGGAAGGCTTCCCGTGGGTCCTTTTTAAAAAAATACACTTTTTACTGCTGCTAAACTAATTCAATTTAATTACACATCAGAATTTTTATAAGTTATAAGAATAAGTAATTGTTACTGTTATCGACTATGTGCCAAGTGACTCGTTTTGTAACTTATATATTGGGCGATGTTGCATGAATGGCATGCTGTGTGCATAGCTTACCGAAACTAAATGGTGGTGGTGTGTAAGATGGTGCCATGTTGATTGTAACGGCTTTTGAAATGCCATGAAATTTAACGCTGAAATTTTCTTTTGATCCTTATTTAACTTCTTTGATTTTCGCACGTTTAATGCCAAAATTAACTTGTATAAACTATAAATATATGGCAATGGGTGGGGTAGAAATAAATATAATTTATTTGCTAGAATAAGGATAGTTTATCCATCTAAAAATTAACCGTCTTATCAACAACTATCATGAAAACAACTAATTGATTAAAATTAAGTTTATGGTTTAATCGCGTTTGATTTTGCGCTTTGCAACACTTAGCACTCGAGGGAGGAGGGATAACAGGATTGAGGTGTTCGACGTCCTGATGTGATAGTTAGTCAGGGCTATCCTCCAATTTGAAATTATTAAGTTTTGGTTCAATCCAGTAATTGGGATTTTAAAACTGAGTCAAAATTAAACGAGATAAAGTCTTTGAAATTAGTTTTATTTAATTAAACATCAAGTTAGGGATCCAAGATTTCAGCGCATTTCAAATGGTCAGCGTTAGGATGTGTAGGTTTAGGTTGAAAAGGAGTATGTGTTTGTGCCATCCCGACGTGAGAGAGCGTACGCTAAATCGCACAATTTCTCACGACAGAGCCTCCTTAAAATCTTCGAGAAGCAACTAGATGACCACGAGAAAAAGTACGGCCGGCCCATACCCGACAGGTCTTTGTACCTCGACGTGCCCTGGCCTAGGAACGTTCTCCAACATGTGTTGAGCGCTTACCAACAGAGGACCTCTTTCATTGGGTCGCTATCACGGTCCAGGACCAGTCTCAACCTGACACTCTCCACGTCTAACACGCCCAACATGGATAGGAGACGCAGCATCAGTCCCACCGACTACAGGATCACCAAGTCGGCCGTGACAGGCACCAGTAGTACCTCCAGGAGGGGCAAACTCACCGAGCCTCAAAGATACGGGTCCACGTCGAATTTGAAGCTGGTGTCCGAAAAGATATCCGGGTTCTCGGTGTTCCGCCAATCGGACGATTTCCGACGCGAACCGATCATGGCGTACGGTTCAGATATGTCCGAGAACGAACACCGTCAACAGGATCGAAGAGGAACCGAGAAGGAGTCTCGAAAGGTCCAAACCGGTCGACAGGGTGCCCACTTCGGCCAGAAACTTAAGTCCAACAAGGGTCGATAAGAAGTTGAACAGACAAAGCATGAGCGAGCACCTCCTGACGCAGAAGACCGAAGAGGTGATGAAGAGGAGCGTCTCACAGCAGAACCTGAAGCAAGACATTGCTATGGAGGCGGTTATGATCGACATGCCCTCTCTGAGCGGCAAGTACGACACGTACAAGAGCGTCAGTACACTGGACAGTATTGACATCGAGGAGATAGAAGCACAAGGGCCAACCACCACGCACTTCAGTAGGTGGGGTCCGGTGAGGGGCTCGAACAGTTACTCTGACCAGGGTGACGTACCAGTCAGCCAACTGTCCACGTTGAACTTCAAGGCTGCCTTTGCCGCTTCAGAGAAGAATGGACCACCAGACTCCGTTGCTTAGGCGTCACTTCATTGGCACCCACAAGAGAAACTGGGTTCAATCAGTGGCCACCCGCAGTCTTACTCCCGGCATTGTTATCGGTTTCGATTTGAACTAACTTTGTTTCGAACCTAATTTTAAAAGCTCATAACCTAATATAATTTGAATGGAGAAACAATATCGAACTAAGATCAAGTCTTATCAGCATTGTTACGCACGTCCGGCTGATTATATCATAGTAAAATTCTTAATGCCTTTGGTTAGATTATTTTTAATAAATTATATATTTTTACTAAATAAAAAAAGCATTCTCGTCGCTTGTAATTGCGAGCGCCACCTAATGGCGAGTACTTAAAGATATACATTCTAAGAATTCCAAATTAAACTTCCATTATATTCTGTGCTAGCTTCGGTTCCAGGAATGCGAATAACCTTTTGTTCAGAGATTCAGAACGCAATTCCGTTGGTTTTAAAAACTTATATACCAGTTCATTTTTAAAGCTCATCCTTGAACCGATTTGAATCAAGAGACAGGATCGAGTTCCGTACATGCGTTATCGGCGCCGTTAGGCACATTCGGATATTTTTATCCGAAGATTATATTTAATTATTTTTTTTTTTATAGGAGAGGGGGCAAACGAGCATGCGGCTCACCTGATGGTAAGTGACTACTGCCGCCCATGAACAACCGCAACACCAGGGGAATTGCAGATGCGTTGCCGGCCTTTTAAAAAGGAGTAGGCTCTTTTCTTGAAGGTCCCTAAGTCGTATCGGTCCGGAAAAATCGCTGGTGGTAAACTATTCCACAAGGAAGTTGTGCGAGGAAGAAAACATCTTCTAAATCGCACAGTGGTGGATCGCCAATCATCCAGATGGTGTGGATGGTATCGGGAGTTCTGCCGCGATGTGCGTTCGTGAAATTTGGCGGCTGGGATTAATCCGAACAATTCCTCAGAGCACTCCCCATGGTAAATGCGAAAGAAAATGCTAAGAGATGCAACATCTCTTCGCAGTGCCAATGAGTCGAGCCGATCGGAAAGGACTCGGTCGTCTACGATTCGAGCCGCTCTGCGCTGGATGCGGTCAAGTGGAAGGAGCTGGCACTGGGGAGCCCCAGCCCAGAGATGGGAACAGTATTCCATGTGAGGCCGAACTTGCGCCTTGTAAAGTTGCAGGCGTTGAGCCGGCATGAAATACTGTCCCGCTCTGCTGAGCACGCCAAGCTTTTTAGAGGCCAATTTGGCCTTCTCTTCCAAGTGACCACGAAACTGCACCTTACTCGATATGTCGACGCCGAGGATTCCGATACTGGCTGAGGCAACAAGGGGAGTACCTTGAAACTGAGGAGATACGACAAAGGGGTTCTTTTTAGCGGTAAACGCGCAAACTTGTGTCTTCTGAGGATTAAACTGGATTAGATTTAGTCGCCCCCAATCCGAGACTTTGTCCAGCAAAGACTCGACTTCAGACACAAGTTTGTTCCGGTACTCGGTGACGTTTTCCCGAGAAATATTGGCACGGCCGGTGTATAGAGCATCACCAGTGCTGTCATCCGCAAAGCAATGAATGCTATCGGCTTGCAACATATCATTGATATGCAGAAGAAACAGCGTTGGTGATAGCACGCAGCCTTGTGGAACACCAGCGTTAATAGGCTTGTAGTCGGAGCATGCACCGTCTACAACGACCTTGATGCTCCGATCTGCAAGAAAGCTGGTGATCCAATTGCATAATTTAAATAAATAAATATAAAATAAAAAAATAAAATTAGTTAAAAATTTCACGTCTTAAATATTTTTACTAAAGAAATAGGAAAAAAATATAAAGAAAAAGCATTTTACGTTGTTTGCGACTACGGGTGCCAACTAGTGGCGAACAGCTGAAGACTGCTTTCTTTTTTTTTTTGCGTTATTTAAACCACCCTGATTGTGCAAGCTTCGGTTTACACCAGTTTTGGTAATACGAAATTCAGGGTAATTTCAGTTCAAATCAAATTTGATTGATTTCATGTCCGTATACTAAAGCGCTGCTCAATTTTAAGATGCTGTTACGTCTTGTGTGTCCTCGTATCACTTTATGTCAAGGTGACTGTGACATCATGAGACTTTTTCGAGTAGCGTTTGAGTATTTAGCCATCAGAACTCTATTTTGTCGGGATTGGGCCGGTTGATCTAATTGTTTTGACAGTTGACATCACTGTGTGTAGGGGGATAAAAAAACGTTATCGCTTTTTGTATGAAAATTTACAGCTTCTCACAATCCTCTTAAGGATTAGTTGCAAACGGAAAAGATTACTTAGATATAAACATTATATAAACAAAGACATCTTTAGTAAACGTATTTACACAAGTTATTCAAAAATTTTGTAAAAAATGTATTTACACGTCAAAAAAATTAGAAATACATATTTAATTAAAAATAGCAGAAATAAATGCAAAGCTTCGTAGACAATTGTAAATAAAAAAATTGGTAATTGTTACGGCCTACGGCTGCTCCCATAAAGGTCAAATCCTCAGGGGCCCATTCAGCTGAGTTTCGACGAGCAGACGTAGGTCGGGCCTCCTAAGGCCAAAGTGGAAAATCTCTAGTTATACTAAACTATATGGGGGAGCGTTTTATACTACGGCCATTCAACAGGGAAAATATTAGACGGAGCTTACTTACCTATATCCAAGGCGACTGGTCCCTCCGGAGTCGGTCAGGTCACATGTGGTTGTGTAGTGCAAGGGAAATAAGGTGCTGTGATGTGTATCTGGGTGTGACTGATGGTGATTGACCTTAGTAGACCTTGGCCGTCGGCAGCAACCCGGGCGTCAGTACCGCTCCTCCAGATCCTCGGCCGCAACGCTTTCACAGTCACTTTCTTCGTTCGTCACGATGACAGTCCATTAACTCTATCGTACGATTAACTAACTTACAGAAGCCACTAACTCTAATTTGTTATAAAGCGTAACACCCAAACAAATACAGTGTTTAGGCAAAATATTATACATTTGAAACGTAAATCTTTTCACGTGCGTTCGTAGCATCGACAGCAAGGTCACCCGCCCCCCACCCGGCCGCATTCCACGGCGGTATCGGCCGGATTTCTCGACAAGCATTGTAAAGTTTTTTGCGATCTATACTGACGTCTTAGTTTAGCGCCTACATTTGTTACGAAAGTATAAACCCGCGTAAATCGTTGCGAGAACACGTATTGTTCTTTAGGACTTATTAATTTCTGTCAAATTAATTGTGCAACTCCGATAGTGATTTTCTTCTGAAGTTCTACGTTTGGCTGTACAATTACGTGACAAAACGGAAAGAGTGCCTCAAGAGGGGAATAGTTCCGAGGCTACCAGCGGATACCTTCTCCAGGACAGTATTGCGTCATCTAGCCCAGGCCACTTACACGCATATTCATACAAAGCACACATACATTCACGACACTTCCATCAGCCGGGCAGGTCCTGGTGAACCGTCTCCGCTCCAGAAGCAGGTAAGTGCCTTTCCCTTACCGATCTTTCCCCCTTTGTTTATTTTAGTTAGAGACCTTCCACTTTGGCCTTAAAGGCCCGACCTGCATCTGCCTGTAGGTTCTTCCTACCATGAGCCCGGGAGGATCCTACTATTAGATAGGCAGCTGCACGCCGTATCATTTGGTAGCAGTAGCTTGGTTAATTGTGTCTACAATCACGCCCGGCCGTAATACGTAAAATTAATATAATATAATTAATATAAATAATAATACTTTTCTTTTGTTGCCTTGTTGCTCGCCTTTTTTTTGTTTTTTGTTGTTAGTAGGTAGTTGCTAACGCCACGCCCGTTGGTTAACAAGCAGAAATTTGGTTGAGGCGAAGTACTTTCATTAGGTAGATAAGGCTGTCACGTAATCTGATCATTTGTTGATCGTACTAGGGTTGTTACTTGCTAATTTGATTTGTGTTTTTTCGTGTTAACTTGTATTTAATTTAATAATTGTGTAATTTCTATTTAACTTGATTGATAGGAACTGTATTTGTTATTTTTGTTATTGTATTTAGTAGGGATGCCGTCACATAAGCTACTAACTCGTTGCTTGCGGACTGAGCTGCGCTGGGCTACCAGCGCACACGCTTTGATAGGCCGACCGGATAGGGTTTATAATATGAGGAAGAGGCTCGAGCAGGTCGATACTCGAAGGGCTGCCGTGGAGGAGGCTTACGCTGAGCTCGAGGACTCGGAGGTGGAAAAGGGAGTCCTGGACTTCTGCCGCGCGGACTACGAGCAGTTCCTCGCGCTCACGGACGACTTGATCGAGGCGGGGGCCAAGGACGCGGAGAAGGAGCGCGAAGCTCGGCTGAGTGGCCTGCTCGAGTCCCCTCGGAAGCCGCCCACTCAGCCAGAGCTGTTAGGACGACTCCCCACGCTGGACCTGCCAAGGTTCTCCGGGGTCCTCTCGGAATGGCTGACCTTTGTCGGTATGTTTGACAGCCTGGTGGACGCCCGGAGGGACTTGACCCCCTGCCAAAAAATGGGGTACCTCCTGGCATCACTGGAGGGGTAGGCCCTGGGCGTCGTCGGCCACCTTAAGTTGTCGGACGACGCCTACCAAAACGCCAGGGACCTCTTCGCTGGAAGGTACGCCAACGTCCGGCGGATTGATGACGAGCATGTTCGGAGGCTGCTGAACCTCCCGCTGCTGAGGGACCGGACCAGACTACGTGAGGACATAGTGAATCCAGTCGTCGTAGCGTGCAACTCGTTGCGGCGCCTGGATTTGGAGTGGTCTTTTTTGTTACTTCATATTGTGCTGTCCCGCCTGCCCCTCGACTTTCGGCTCCATTTTGAGGAGAGGTACGGAGGGGATGACGCCTCGTATATTCCCCCCTTTAGGGACCTGCTGCGGTTCCTGGAGGAGCAGTGTAGGCAGTTAGAGAACGCAGCAGGTGCCGTCGAGGGCCTCCCGGCCGCCGCCCGAGTGGTGCCCAGGGAGAGGCGGAATCAGACGGCCAAAGCGTCGCCCACCCCCCTGAGGCCGAGCGGAGCCCCCGCGGGAGGGCGCCCCCCCTACCCTCCTATAGTGGCCTAGCGGCCCGGGAGGCGCCTCCCTGCTCCTATTGTCGAGCATCCGACCACCGGGCGGCGTCGTGCCCGAAGTTGTTGCGCAAGCCTGCTACGGCGAGGCGAACCATCGCCAGGGAGCGCCGCTGGTGCTACTCGTGCCTGGAGAGGCATTTACAACGAGACTGCCAGCACCAGGGGCCCTGCACGCACTGCCAGGGCAACCACCACATCATGTTGTGCCTGGGTGCGTCCTCTCCGGGCCCTGCCAGCCCCCCGACTCCCACGGGCGGGGGCGCTCAGCCACGCCCCCTGTCGGGCGACGCTTGGCGCTCGCCGGTTGACCACAGCGCCCCTCGTTCTGAGGGGAATCCCTCCCCCGACCGGTCGGGGAGTCGTTCCCCCAGGGGCGGGGGTTTGCACCCCCCCCTCAGCGGGTTGAGAGTGGATTCGCAGCCACTCAGCGGTCAGCTAGACCGTTCTCACCCCCGTTGGCTGAGTGGCCGCGACTGGAACGCCGCCCGCCCCCCTTTGGTCGATGCCGGTACTACCGGGTTCCGGAGACCGCGTATCGGCCTCGGGCCTCGAAGCCGAGGATCCCCGAATTTCCCCAGGTCGGCCCGTTCGGGGAATTCCAGTCCAGGGTCATCGGGACGCCGTCGGAGTGCCGCTCTCGGGGCCCCCGGTTCAGGTGCCGGTCCGACAGAGGCAGCTCCAGATAGGAGGCTGCCGCCCTAGCTCCCGCCATGGCCGCCTTCACTGAGCCTTTGAGCCGTCAGCAGTCCACCTGAACTGTTCTATTGCCGACGGCCTCAGTGAAGGTGTACAACCCGAGCGGCGACCGCTTAACGGTTCGAGCTCTATTGGATTCGGGTTCCCAACGTAGTGTGGCCTCTACTTGGTTGGTGGGAAGACTGGGGCTCCCCTGGAGCTCTGAATCACGTCCGATGGTAGGTATCGGAGGTGCCGAGCCTCCTGCTCCTAGGGGACAAGCGGAGTCGGTGTTCAGCCCTGCCAGCGAACACCTTCGCATTTTAGTCAAGGTAAATGTCCTCGATGACATTGTAGGGTTTCTCCCTAACGTTTGTATAAATGACAGCGCGGTTCGCTGTGCGTCGGCTTTGAGACCGGCAGACCCTCGGTGGGCCCAACCTGGGCCTATAGATTTGTTACTGGGGGCCGACACGTTGGGGGTCATCTTGTTAGGTTAGATACGAGCTTTACAGCCCGATGGCCTGTCAGCCATTTCCACGATATTTGGGCACAGCTTCTTTGAACCGGTTATGTGGTCTCCTCCCCCTCCGACGGCCGACCCGCTCTCCGTCGTGGGCGTGTCCCTATCGGACGCCGTCCAGCGGTTCTGGGAAATTGAGGAACCACCACAGGCGGCGCGAATCAACCCTCTGGACCGTGAGTGCGAGTTGTTCTTCCAGAACAATACCGGCCGTCGGGTCGACGGTCGTTTCGTCACTCGCTTACCGTTTCTGGACTCACGTCCTTCCTTGGGCCAATCTCGTGCACTTTCCGAGAAGAGGTTGCTTTCCATGGAGCGCCAAATGCGGCGCGACCCAGCCTTTCGCGCCAAATATGTCGAGTTCATGTGCGAGTATCAAGAGCTGGGTCACATGTCACCGTCCAACTTCGAATGGCGTTCACAGGAGCACTACTTCCTCCCTCACCATGCGGTCTTGAGGACCCCTGAGAGTAAGATTCGGGTAGTTTTTGACGGTTCCGCCCCCACATCAAATGGTGTGTCTCTGAACCAGTGTCTACACTCGGGTCCTAAACTGATCAAGGACATATCCGACATCTTGACCCAATTCCGTCGACACCAAGTGGTTTTTGTAGCGGACTGCAATATCTTGGGATTGAATGAAAGATGTCTTTCTCGTAACGGCTTTAATGGCGGACTGGGCGGTGACGTTACAATAATTAACAAATACCTTACACCTCCAGCCTTAAATATCTACATAATTATATAGCAATGAACTTAATAACTAGTTTTAAACTTATAATTTAACTAAGTATACCATTAATCTAACATTGGAATTTAATTACGGGTTTTCGGATTCGCCTGGAACGGGTCACTGGCCGCGACGGTGGCTGTGGTTGTGGAGGAGTGGCGGGGCCTGGTACAGTCTCGCTGGGACATTGCGTATCTGCCACGTGCTCGGTATCCACGTCATCTTTTCCAGCCGAAACCGCGACCTTCGTTTGCAACTCTGAAGACGCATCTGCAAACTCCTCCTCATCCTTTTCATCGACCTCATTAGTGATATCTGGACAGGTAACATCGGATAAGCGCGACCTACGTCTTATTTGATCAATATGTCTTTTAATAAGTCGACCGTCACCATTGTCGAGAACGTATCTTCCAGAACCTTCTTTCTGGGCTACCGTGCCCTTGACCCATTTATCCCGGGTGCCGTAGTCCCTACTCCAGACGGTGTCTCCCAAAGAGAAATTACGCGGAACACCACCCGCATATTCGACTTGACGCTGCTGAGCATCGAGCACACGCGCTTGCACCACGTACCCACCGCGAAGTAAATCCAACCGTGAACGCAAGGAACGTCGCTGCAGCAGCATCGCTGGGCTCTCACCCGTGGTGCTTTGCTTACTGTTGCGATAGCTTAGTAAAAAGGTTTGTAGGGCGGTATCAATATCTACGTCATCCCTATAAGCCTTTTTAATTGCCCTCTTACACAGCTTAACAGCATTTTCCGCTGCCCCATTAGATGCAGGGTGGTACGCCGGTGAAAACCTTTGCTGAATGCCATTATTTTTCAAAAAACTTTTAAATTCAATACTTGTGAAAGGCGGTCCCTGGTCAGACACTAGTTCTAAGGGCAAACCGAATTTTGCAAATATTGACCTCAGCACCGTAACAATGGAAGTCGCATTCGTTCGCGCTACTTCAATAATTTCAAGCCATTTCGAGCTCGAATCTATTAGAACTAAATAAGTTTTACCTTTATACGGTCCTAGGAAGTCTATGTGAACTCTAGACCAGGGAGGCAAGTAGGGCCAGGGGTTAGGAGGCGCGCGCGGCGGGGCGTCCGCCTCAGAGGCGCAGGTCTCGCAGCTTCGGCATAGCGCTTCCACATCCGCATCTTTGTTCGGCCACCACACATAACTCCGTGCCAGCCCCTTAGTTTTCACAATACCCATGTGGCTGCTGTGTAGTTGTTTTAAAATAATTGGACGTAAATATGAAGGTATTACCATTCTATACCCCCACATAATCGACCCGTTATCTAAATATAGTTCATTGCGCCTAACAAAATAAGGTTTAACCTCTTCACCAGGGCAAACTGTCGGCCAACCCGATTTGATATAGGCGAAAATTCTACTAAGAATAATATCCTTTGAAGTCGCCTTCGTAACATCCTCATTAGTAACCGGTAAAAAATTTTCAACGAAGTTAATATAAGTAATTTCTCTATTTATCGTTTTTTTTATTATTAGAAGAAATTGGTAATCTTGATAAACCGTCGGCGCAATTTTTATTAGACGTTACGTATTCGATATTGTAGTCGTAACCAGATAAAAGTACGGCCCAACGTTGGATACGTGAAGCGGCCATAACCGGTATTCCCGTTTTTTTACCGAATATGTGTATTAACGGTTTATGGTCCGTACGCAATATGAATTTTCGCCCATAAAGATACTGATGATATTTTCTTACACCGAACACAATAGCGAGCGCCTCCCGATCGATCTGCGAGTAGGCTCGCTCTGCAGCCGTGAGCGAGCGCGACGCATACGCCACCGGCCGCTCGCCCTCTGGCGTCAGGTGCGAGATCACTGCACCTACACCCACGCTACTCGCATCACACGTCAGCACAATAGGCAAATCGCTAGAGTAATGCATTAGAATTTTACTAGAACTCAATAGTTCTTTTACCTTTTTAAAGGCTCTTTGACAATCGTCACACCAATCAAATTTTATTCCCGTACGCAATAAATTATATAAGGGTGCGAGAATAGTGCTGATATTTTTTACGAATTTTGCATAATACATTATCATTCCTATATAGGCCCTTAACTCAGACACGTTCGTAGGAACGGGAGTGTCTACTATTGCCTTAATCTTATCCGGACAAGTGTGAATACCATCCTTACTAATTACATAACCTAAGTAATTGACTGATTCAGCAAAAAATACACACTTTTCCTTTTTAACTCGAAGTCCGTACGACTGCAAACGGTCAAATACTTTATGTAAATTACTAATATGCTCCTCTGTGTTGCGCCCTGTAATAATTATATCGTCCAAAAATACGCCTACATACGGTAGATTAAATAATAGCTCTAAATGTTTTTGAAAAATGCCAGGGCTTGATGATAAGCCGTATACTAAGCGGTTATACCTAAACAAACCTTTATGTGTGTTGATCACCGTATATTTGGCAGATTCGTCAAGTACAAATTGTGCGTAAGCTTGTGAAAGGTCAATTTTACTGAACCTCTGCCCCCCTTGTAAACGTACCAGTAAGTCTTCTACTCTAGGCAAAGGATAACGGTCGACTTCTATAACTTTATTTAAAGTTAACTTATAATCGGCGCAAATCCTAATGTTACCGTCTTTTTTCACTACGGGCACAATGGGAGTCGCCCAGTCGGAGCGGTCGACGGGTGTGAGAATACCGTCCGCCACCAGCTGCTCGAGTGCGCGCTCCACGGGTGCACGCAACGCATAAGCCAGCGGACGTGCTCGCATGAACACGGGCTGCGCTCCCTCCCGCACACGGATGCTCACCGGCGGCCCAGTGAACCGTCCCAGGCCGTCCGCGAACACCTTACAATATCTGGAACTGAAATCGTTTAAGTTAAAAACATCATTCGATAAACAGTTTAAGCTTCCAAATGGGGGTAACTGTATATTGAGTTCTGCCAACCATTGTCTGCCTAACAATATACTTTTACCATTTTTAATAACATATAAATCGAGATGCTTTTCTTTATCTTTGTACTTTACTAAAGGCCTTATCACACCTACAGGTTTCACTTGTTCACCCGTATAGTACCTTAGCAACAAAGGACACATATTCAGTTTTAGGTTACTGAATTGTTGTTTATATAACTCGTAGCTAATACATGAAACGGCACTGCCTGTATCACATTCCATTTGAACATCCCTACCGTGTACTGTTAATGATATAAACAATGGTTTGTAATGACTAACGCTTAATTGATTAATGCAAACCATTACCTCGTCACTTCCTTCACTGTTTAATAAACTGTCAGTCTCACTCTGCACCACGTTGAGGCTGTGTTGTCCTGCTAGATAAGGACATATCCTTTGTAAATGCCCTTGTTTATTGCACACTCGACACACGTAGCGAGCAAACTTGCAGGTCACTACATCGTGTGCATTACCGCACGCGCGACACTCGCGCTGGTGTCGTCGTCGATCATCCAGCACCGATGTTGATACCCTCGGCCCGGTGGGCGTTGCTGCTGCTATCCTGGATGCTCTGCCACGCATCCTGACCTCGCCCTTACTGCCCGCGCGCCGCTCGCCGTCACAACCGATCGCGCGCCCGGTCCGTCTTGTACTGACCATCGCGTAGCAGTTTGTGGATGCGCTCGAGTCTCCAGATATTTTCGGATTCACATCGACGCTGGCTGCATCCTTCTCCGCCGCCTCCATCCTTCTCCGCCGCCTCCATACTCACGGCTAATTGATAAGCCTTGCCAAAGTCTAGTTTGCTTTCGGCAAATAATCTCTGCCGAATTGTTTCACTACTGATACCGCATACGAACTGATCGCGCAAACTTTCTTGCAACCAGCTACCAAACTCGCAAGTTTTCGACATTTTCTTTAGGTCCGTTACATATTCTGATATACTTTCACCGTCCCTTTGTTTTCTTTGTCGGAATTTAAATCTTTCAGCCAGCTCGCTGGGTTTTGGTTGAAGGTAATTTTCCAAAATTTTTGTTAGCTCTAAAAACGTTTTTGATGTGGGTTTTTCCGGGGTACACAAACTCACGAGTAGTTCATAACTCTCCGCCCCCATAACCGTGATTAATGTAGGTACATGTAGCTCACTTGATATTTTGTTCACAACAAAGAATTGTTCGAGCCTTTCCACATATAGTTTCCAATTGTCTGTGGCCACTTTAAATTCCGATATTTTACCAATCGACATGGTTTAGGCCGGTTAGCTTATACACACGCGAACTTTTACGATATATATTTATTTTTCTTTTTTTTTTTCCTCTCGTCGCCAATGCAATATCTTGGGATTGAATGAAAGATGTCTTTCTCGTAACTGCTTTAATGGCGGACTGGGCGGTGACGTTACAATAATTAACAAATACCTTACACGGACATTCGGATGATGTTTCGCCAATCAGTGGTCCATCGTGATGACCGTCGATATCAGCTGATATTGTGGCGCGAGAAGCCCAGCGATCCTATACAGGTGATTGAGTTGAACACCACCACATACGGACTCCGGTCCAGCCCGTATATCGCCATGCGAACCCTCCTTGAACTCGCTGAGAGAGAGCGCCTGAGATACGCTCGAGGAGCTTCTATTTTGGAGACTTCGGTCTACATGGACGACATTTGTACGGGCGCTTCCACCGTCGAGGAGGCTCTTGTCTTGCGAGACGAATTAATTGCCATCCTGAAGTCCGGAGGCTATGAGTTGCGCAAGTGGTTGTCGAACTCCCCTCATATTTTGAAGGACCTCCCAGGAGAGGCTCAACAAGACCCTCATCTGTTCGAGCACCCTGAGAATCCTAATTTGTTGACTGTGCTGGGCATTCAATATCAGCCTGTTCAGGACACCTTCACGTATAGAGTGCTGTCTATCGTAGCCCGCACTTTCGACCCTAATGGATGGATCACCCCGGTCATCTTTTTGGCTAAGTGCTTTCTTCAAAAGCTCTGGATGTCCGGGTTGGGTTGGGACGAGCCTATTAGCGGAGTCCTCTTGCGAGAGTGGCTCTCCATGCTCTCCTCCCTTCCGGACATCAACCGGGTTTCCATGCCAAGGTGCTTCCTCCCCCCCGGGAAATGCAGGGCTACCCTACATGGGTTTTGCGACGCCTCTGAGAAGGGCTATGCTGCTGTCGTATATATGCGGACTGTGAATTCCTCTGGTCATACCGCCGTCCATCTCGTACTCGCTAAAAGCAAGGTTGCTCCCATTAGGTCCCGCTTAACTATCCCTAAATTGGAACTGTCCGGTGCCGCTCTTCTCACGCGACTCCTCAACCACGTTTTCTCGTCCTTGAAGCCTTTAATCGACATTACGGGCGTCTACGCATGGTCGGACAGTGAGATAGTACTTTGTTGGCTCCGAGCTGCACCTCACAATCTTGAGGTCTTTGTGGCGAACCGCGTGTCTCAAATCCAGAGTTCTGAGACGTCTCTCAACTGGAGACATGTCCCAGGGGAGTTGAATCCCGCAGACTGCGCTTCTCGCGGCTGTGAGGCCCCCTCGCTGTTTGACCAGCCACTGTGGTGGGGTCCCGGTTGGTTATCTGAGCCTCAGTCATTCTGGCCCCCAGGTAATTACTCCGAACCTACCGAGTTGCCGGGCCTACGAGCCCGAGTAGGAGTGGGCAAGGATAAGCCCACTCGGGATCTCTCTCTTCTGGAACGGTACAGCTCTCTCGATAAACTCTTAGGAGTTACTGCTTGGTTGCGCCGCTTTGTCCGCAATTCGAGAGACCCGTCCAACCGACTCTCTGATTGCGTTTTGTCCCCTAGCGAGCGTCGTGAAGCTTTGATGCATTGGACCCGTATGGTCCAAACGGAGCATTTTGAGCCCGTCATTGAAAACTTGAAGCGTGGCTCCGTTATCAAGGGCGCCCTGGCCCGCCTGAACCTCTTTCTGGACGACGCTGGGATGCTGCGCGTTTGGCGGACGTTTGAAAAATTCTCAACTGCCGTACGGGGCTCGACACCCGTTGCTGCTCCCTAAAGACGGCGCCCTTGTCCGGTTGCTGGTAGCCCACCACCATGTTAAGAATGCCCACGCTGGGTGTAACGCTCTTTCTGCTATTTTGCAGCGGGAGTTTTGGATTTTGGCTGGCCGACGCACCATTCGGAGCGTCATCTTTAAGTGCATATCCTGTTATAAACTGAAGGCCACCATATCGCAGCCTCTCATGAGTGACTTGCCGTCAGACCGCGTCAGGGCCATCCGACCATTCGCTGGAGTCGGAACCGACTTTGCTGGCCCCTTCCTCGTCAAGTCCTCTAACCTTCGTAACGCGCGTTCGCATAAGGCCTTTCTTTGCGTCTTCGTGTGCCTCTCCACTAAAGCCGTTCACTTGGAACTTGTAAGTGCCCTCAGCATGGAAGCCTTCTTGCCCACGCTTGGCCGTTTAGTATCGCGGCGCGGTTTGCCGGACTTGATCCGGTCGGATTGCGGAACGAATTATAAGGGCACGGATAGGTATCTAAAAGAGGTCGTCGAATTTCTGTCTAGCCACCTGACTTATTTAGGCAATGCTATGTCAAAAAGGGGCATCCAGTGGAAATTCGACCCTCCGGCGTGTCCCCACTGGGGCGGTATTTTCGAGGCGGTGGTTAAAGTGGCAAAAAGGCATCTCCGTCGCGTTATTGGTGAAACTATTTTGACATTTGAGGAGCTCGCCACTGTATTCTGTAAAATCGAGGCTGTACTCAACTCTCGGCCCCTCTGTCCCCTCTCATCCGACCCGAATGATTTGGAGGTTCTAACCCCGGGACACTTCCTGATTGGCCAGCCGCTTAACGCTCTGCCCGAGTACCCCTTCAGGTCAAACCTGCTCAGCCCTGAAGGGCTGCTGCAACAGATGACTCAGAGCTTTTGGCATCGATGGTCTCTGGAGTACCTACATCTTTTGCTTACTTATCTTCACGCACAATCCCTGACGGGGTAGCCAGAGAGAACAGATCGCAAAGTGTCACGATCCTTACAAACCTCTTTCGCTTCTTTCAGATTCATTATCTTCTTCATGCATGCACGTCTTGGTATCCGAGTACTCTTGACCCTACCCTCTTCGAGCAATTTGCTCACATGGTCTTCGAAAGTTAGTCTCGGTCTACCTCGACACCTTTTAATATTAACTTTCGCGCTATATATTTTCTTCACCATTCGGTCTTCACTCATTCGCTCAACGTGCCCAAACCACCGAAGCACGCCCTTATCAATTTTTGTGATAAGGTCATCTTTCAAACCTGCCATATTGCGAATCTCTTCGTTTCGCTTTCGGTCGGCCATGGTAACGCCGCACATTTTACGAAGAGATCGCATCTCCACTGCATTCAACTTACTTTTTTGCTTCTTCTGGCATACCCAGGTTTCGCTGCCATATAACAAAGTCGGTACCAACACTGCGTTATGTATTGCAAGGCGTGCACTCTTCGCTACGCCTTGCCATTTGACTAACGCAGTCAGGGCACCATTGACTTTGTTCCCGGCAGCGACACGCCTGTCCACATCTAAATCACATCTTCCATCCCGGCTAAAAGCACTCCCCAAGTATACAATTTCATTTACCTGTTCTAGACATTCTTTGCAGCAGCGCATTAAGTGGTCTGACAAGACGGAACCTCCTCGGGTGGGAGACCTCGTGTTGGTTAAAGAACCCAACGCTCTACCTTTGTATTGGCGCCGTGGGCGCATTGTTAAGTTGTCGTATGGAGCGGATGGGGTACCTAGAGTGGCCGAGATTTTGGTCGAAGATTCGGTCTTGCAACGTGCCGTCGCGACCATGTCCCGTTTGCCAATCTACTCGCGGACATAATTCCTTATGTCCGGGGCGGGGGTTTGTTTAGACAAAATTACATTTGAAACGTAAATCTTTTAACGTGCGTTCGTAGCATCGACAGCAAGGTCACCCGCCCCCCACCCGGCCGCATTCCACGGCGGTATCGGCCGGATTTCTCGACAAGCATTGTAAAGTTTTTTGCGATCTATACTGACGTCATAGTTTAGCGCCTACATTTGTTACGAAAGTATAAACCCGCGTAAATCGTTGCGAGAACACGTATTGTTCTTTAGGACTTATTAATTTCTGTCAAATTAATTGTGCAACTCCGATAGTGATTTTCCTCTGAAGTTCTACGTTTGGCTGTACCATTACGTGACAAAACGGAAAGAGTGCCTCAAGAGGGGAATAGTTCCGAGGCTACCAGCGGATACCTTCTCCAGGACAGTATTGCGTCATCTAGCCCAGGCCACTTACACACATATTCATACAAAGCACACATACATTCACGACACTTCCATCAGCCGGGCAGGTCCTGGTGAACCGTCTCCGCTCCAGAAGCAGGTAAGTCCCTTACCCTTACCGATCTTTCCCCCTTTGTTTATTTTAATTAGAGACCTTCCACTTTGGCCTTAAAGGCCCGACCTGCATCTGCCTGTAGGTTCTTTCTACCATGGGCCCGGGCGGATCCTACTATTAGATAGGCAGCTGCACGCCGTATCATACAGAATGTCGGTCTATACGAAATCCCGTTACTATAAGCAAAAACGTAACACACCGCACGAGCAACTAATATTGTCAAATCACTTATATACGCTATCAAATTAGAATAACCAAATTCGCGGTAAA